GAGCATTGGGTGTTGTATGGAAACCAATTTGACAATAAATTATATTTTAAAATAATAATAAAATAAAATAATGAAATGAAATGAAATCTTGCTGTCTTCAGAGTTTGAAATCTACTCTCATATAGTAGGTGTTCACTAAGGATTGTGGTACAGGTGATGATGATGATGATGATGATGATGGATGGTAACCCAATAAAGTTCAATTCTCTTAGCATGGTGTTCAGGGCCCCTCATGGTGTGATTTTGACTGACTTTTGCAGCCCCACGCACTGCCTTTCTACCCACATGGTCTACCCTAGCCCAGCTGAACTACTCAAAGTCCCCAAACAGACATCTTCAAGTATGCCTCTATCTGTGGATGGGCTTCTCCTCTTCCCTCCCTCCTCCACCTGATCTGGCACAGGCAAATCTTTGCTTTAAAGCCTGGCTCCAGGCTCCAGCCATATCCCCAACTCTCTGTGGCTTTCCCTCCCCTCTGTCCCAAGGCCCGGTGGGAAAACCTTTGTTATAGTCATCAGGGTGTGGTCTTGCTGTCTTCTACACTTCTCTTCCCAGCCACCCTTGACCCAGAACGTGAGCTCCTGTGACATTCATCTCTGAATCCCCAGCAGCATCTAGAAGGTGCTGAGTAATTCGTCACAGTCGCATGGGCATCCCATTGGTTGCTCCATCACACTCTGAGTTCCACCTCTGTGAAACTGGATCTGGCTTCCCACCCTCTGAGTTACACTTATGAGCGCAAGCAAATACCCCCCACTAGGGACTGCAAAAAGGCAGTCCTGATGGAAGCAGAGTGATGCTGGGAACCAGAGAGCCCTTGCAGGACTGGGCAGAGTTCTGACCCACAGCCACATCCCCATAGCGAGACCTTTGTGGCTGTTGAGTAGCTAGAAAGGGAAAGTGGCTTCTTTCCCATCTGTTGCTTCTTTCTGAGGCCAACTCAGCTCCCAGAGAACTGAGCTGGACTCCGTGTCTGCCTTGCGTTTAGGACAGCAACAGTCACAGTTGAATTTCCCCAGTCCAATTTTAATACTGGCAATGACACAGGAGGCAAAACAAAACAAAACAAAACAACAACAACAACAACAAAAAACCCAGCTGGATTATCTTTCCAAAAGCAGCTCACGTGCTAGCATTTTGGAGGGCAGGGAAAGACACCTCTTGGCTGCGAGCAAAACAAATTTCTGTGGCCATGATTAGAAATAAATCAGGTACCCTGTATGTGTAGTTATTTAAGTGATCACCCCTGTAAAGACATCTGTACCTTGGAAAGCCATCAGTTTCTCAGCCATGAGGCAGGAAGAGCATCTGAGGAAGGTGGCTCTGAGTGTAATGCTGGGAAGCACATAGGCGCACCTAAAGGGAGAGGAGGAAACTCACATTCCATCCTCTTAGTAACACTGCCATCTACTGCACCTTCCTGTGCCAAAGATGCAGTCCTGTAGCTCTTTCTGTTCCAGCATTTTCCTGTGTGGTCTCGTTCTCATTCAATTTACTGTTCTATTGATTGTTATGAGGTTTCCCATCCCCCCTTTCAGAAATTAATTACTGTAATTATTCAACTTTTAACGGCTGCTGATTTGGCATCTGCAGCAAATATCTGAGAAAACGCACCACTACATTTCATTTGCATGTTTGAGAGAGTGAGGGAGAAGTAGACTTTTCCTTAAATTACATATTGTGACTTGAATAGAGAAAAAGAATCCTAACAAATGGAATTCTCATTTGCATACTTAATATGTCTGATGGCCATCACACACAGAGGGGTAGAATTCCATTCTGTACATTAAGGTGACAACTCATGGGGTGGATCTGAAAGTCAGGTTCATCCACACAGTTTCCATGCACTAGGAGATGAAACACAGGCCATTTTTTGCTCTGTATCACGTCACTGGTCATCGCTGTGGTGGAGTTTCACACAACACTTCCACCAGCAACCCCTTGACTGCTAAGGCCACTCAAACCACTGGCTTGGTTGTTCTCACTGCAAATCCATTCCATGGTTGGAAATATAGCTAAGGAAGCCAGACATCCTCACAATGAAGTCATTGCACCTGGAAAAATGTACAAGGCCAATAATGCATGATCCTACATTCTGCAAAAGCTTCAAAGGATGAAGAGACCCATCATCAAGTACCTCTTGACTTGGGTCCTGGAAGTGAGTTCCAGACCTCTCCTCACCAGTCCCTGACCCTAGAACTTTCTTGGGCCTCAAGCACCTGCAAAATGGGGAGATTCTAGAGTACTGGAATGAGCTGTTATGAATATTGATAAAACAACACTCTTAGCATAGTGGTAGCCCTGAGTGTGTATTCCATTTCCAAAATGCTCCAGGCAGGCCAATCTTGAATGCCAAGGTAAAGAAAGTAAACTCCCATACTTGAGATAACTAAATGGCTAGACTACATTTAAAGAATTAGAGGACATTCTATTTGGGGGTCAAATATTTTTATCTGCTACTTAATGCTTAAGGCAAGTAGGCATTGGTCTTAAAAGATGACTCCCAACAATTCCCTCTGTCCTATACACACATTCAACCCCTCACATCAGTAGAGAAGGCATATGGCCCTTCCCACTGAGTTGACCAGTAGACCAATGCTATGGAAGCCAAGCTGCCTTATTCAAGGCCTAAGCCTTTGGAAGGACTGGCAGCTTCTGCTTTTGTGCCTTTGTGACTCTGAGCTACTATGTGGCTGGCTGGAGGATGCACTTGGAAGGACACAGAGTAGAGGCCAGATGGAGAAGGCTCCATGGAGGAGAACCCAGGATCTTATGAACAGCTCAAACCAAGGTCCCAGACATGTGCCCCAGCTCGGGAGCCTCCTGCCATTGGAGCCAGCCTTGCATGGCACCAGCTATATGAGTAAAGAAGACATCTTCAATGGTCCATCCCACCCACCACCACGTGGCACAGAGAGATGTCCCTGTTGTGCCTGTCTAAATTCCTATCCCACACACACCATGAGAAGGAATGACATGGTTTGTTAACTTGGCAGTTGTTTCTTTAGTTATCTGTTGATGTGTCACAAACTATCAGACCCATTTTATCCCAGCCTGCTGCTTTTCCATAAATGTTGAAAAATATAAAGTGCATTCCATTTCATTATGACATGTTTCTCTATTCATTGGTTTGATATTCATTTCATTGTCATTTTTCGGCAAAGGGATGAGAACCAGAATAAAGACTCCAGTTACAGAGGGACATAAAGGCATGGAACCAGGTCAGCCCCCTCCTTTTTTTTTTTTTTTTTTTTTTTTTTTGACCCTGTATCAAATACTACAGAACTGCCTCAGTGAAAATAGTTCCCTTCCTTACACATCAAGGCTTTTGCTCCCTGACTCTACTTCTCTCACTGATTTCGGAAGACTTATAATATTTCACCAGGTCATTGACATTTGCAGGCTGTGATTAAGAATGCCACTAGTTGTCATTTCTTCCTAGAACATACCACTTCCTTTTTAAGTCCTAGACAAAGCAAAGCTGGGCCTGCACCCCTTACCCCTCATTTGTCCTAAGGAAGCCAGGGCTGTACAGGGAACAGACCAGGAGGCCTGCCGCCAGGTAAGACGACATTTAATACCAGGTCCCCCAACTGGGAATCCTTCAAAGTCATTTAAATTGTCTGAGCCTCTGTTTCCCTACTGGTGAAAACGGAAACAATAATACTCCAGACAAAACTGCTGTGAGGACAAATGAGCCATGAAAGGGTCCGGCACGATGCCTGGCTGCTCCGTTCTACTCATTTCCTTCCATCTGCTGCTAATCGAAGTGTGAATTCCCCAGGTCTTCCTCGACTCTTCCAGTTTCTTCCTCAGAATTTCTGAAGGACTTCTTCTCCAAATGGAGTGTACTTATTCAAGAATTGTCTTGTTCTGTTGCTCAATCTTTTCATCCTGCAATAGGGCCCTTTGTTCTCCCAGGACAGGAACTTGAGGGTTGCCTTTGATTTCCTCCTCCTGCTCCCTGGACCCATTCATCTCAGGGCCCTGGGATTTGATCTCTCTTCTCTCTTCACACTGACCCAGACACCACCCTACCTGAGCCACCACCAGTGTGGTACTGCAGACATGGCCCTCTAACTTCTGTCCCCATTCCCAGGCCATTCCCCGTGCAACAACCAAAGAGATGTTTTTGATACAAAAACCTGATAGAGTCACCATCCACTCACTTGAGAGATGCTTCTTGCTGCCCTTGAGATAGACCTCCATACTTAAACAAGACTCCAGTCTTCCTCTGCCTGTCCCATCTGCTCCCCCTTTCCTCCCACTCCAGCTGCCTGGAGCAGACTCCTTCCCACCTGGCTAATTGTTACTCATCTTTCAGGGCTCAGCTTGAATGTCATCATCTAGAAGATGGCTTCCCTGACCTTTACCCTTTCCTATAAATCAGATTGAATTAGGTCTTCCCCCACCTCCATTCCCATTATTCTTTTTCAGCATCCTCTTTCCCCCATCATTGTCATTTGCCACAATTTGTAATTGTATATCTATTTGTGAGCTTATTTATTTAGCCTGTCTGCACTGGTACCACTTCTTGGTCCCCATCCTGGACGCAGGATCCATGGACCACGTCCATCTTGTTAGCCTGGCATGTCCTGCACAAAGCACCAAGCCAGGATCAGAGCCAGCATCCACAGGATGGATGACTAGATGGGAGGCAAAGGACTTCTGTCCCCACCAATGCCCAGTGTTGTCTTTAGCACCCACGACTTGCCTCATGAAGGTCGAATCATTTCAACTCATTTTTGTTCAGCTGTTGTTTGTAGAAGGTCACTTTGCCATCAGAAATGACCTGTTTTAAATGGCCTTGGAAGGGTGTGCAGAACCCAGTCAAGGGTCGTAGACATACTGAATCTCCCCTGCAGAGGGTGCTTTGCAAGGGTGGCTCTGCTAATGCAGGGTATTGAGGGCAAAAGCAGAAAAGAAAACAGTTTGGCCAGAAGGAGCCTAAATGATCGGTCATGTGAAAAAGACAAACATGTGTGTTCATCAACAAATACCTCGGGGTGGTCTTCATGGTACAACCGAGGCAGCAGTCTCACCATGATGCACAGGACCCCGGGGTGCATGATCACAGCATCCCCTTCATCCATCCTGCAGAGAGAGGGGGCACAGGGTATCAGATTTCAGTTTTCCCGTGTATTTTGCTATTCACAAGCCTTTCTGAATTTTTCTAAGACAGGCCATAATACGCATCCTCAGTCTACCACCAATTATCTATATGACTTTGAAATAATTAATCTGAGCTTCATTTTCCCCAACTGTACAGTGAAACTCACAAAGTAGAGCATCTCTGTCCTCAGAGAGACATAGAATAATGCTTTCGTGCACCGGGACAGTGGCTGGCTCACAGGTGATACTCAACGCAAGTTAGTTGCCTGTCCTTTCCCCTTCTCGCCAGGCATGTAGGAGATGGAGTTGCTCTCATTTTATGTAAAACACACACGTACAAGGTCTCTGGACCCCTTCAAGATGGTGTAAGCATGCTCTACTCTGTCCTACCTACTGGAGGCAACTCAAAACTCACATAAGACACATGAGCAGCTCTCTGGTGACTCTGAAAAATAAATGGTAGCAGACAGGGAAACCAAGCTCAAAGCACCATGCAACTGGCATTGAATTTCCTGGGGCTCCTCCCTCCAGCATTCCTTGGTATGGGCTCATAGGGAGACTGAAAACAGAAATGGGCACCGCATGCAGACAAGGACAGAGCACCAAGAAAAGGTCTCTGTTTCTGGTGTAAGGAACAGGAATGGAGGCTACTGCAGATCATAGAATATGGAGGCGAACCTCTGAGATTTTCTTTGTTGGGTTTCTTCATTCTTTCTCAGCCAGCCTCCAGACAACCCCACAGCAATAGCAGTGGCTGGGAAGGTGCCTGAAATTCTGGGGGAAGACAATCCTCTCTAACCAAAATAACTATGGTTCCAAGAATATAGGCAAAATCCCCATTGCTCTTGTCTTTTTCCTTTCCTGCTTGGCCCCAGAAACAAATGCAGTGGTGTGAAGTATGTGAAAAGACAGTGAAATCAAAGCTTCAGCTTAACATAGAGAAGAAGGAAGAGGCCCCTGGGAACCATAAAGTGTTGGGGAGATGATAAAGAGGAGGAGACTTAAGAAAATCAGATGATGTATCAACCTCCGGATTCAACTCTGAGCTGTGCATGTGTAGATCTGACCCTAAACCACATTCCAAAGGCTTTGAGAACTGAACTCAGGGGTAAACTACCACCTTATACTGGCTACTTCATGGGGAAAATAGAGGGTAGATAAATCACACTGCCAAGTCTGTGAAACCAAACTAATACTGGAAACATTGTCCACAGAGGGTAAGTCAGAACTTGCAGACTGAACCTAACCCGGCTGATTGCCTGCTCAAACAAAATAATCAACATTCTCCAGAAGATGTGAACAGAAGCTAGAGTTCATAACATTCAAAATGTCCCAGTCACAATCTGAAATTACTTAGCATCGAACAAACCAGAGAAATCTCAATATCTCACACAGAAAAGATAATCAATAGATGGTAAGCTTGAGATGTCATAGATGTTGGAATTATCAGGCAAAACTTTAAGTCAGCTGTTAGTAACCACACTGTAAGGTGAATACTGTTGAAATGAATGAAAACCTAGAAAGGCTCAGTAAAGAAATTGAAGGAATAAAAAAGAGCCAAAGGGAAACGTAAGAACTGGAAATACAATAATGAATTTAAAAACCTCACTAAACAAGAACAATAAAAGAATAAGAGGAAAGAGATAAGAGCCCATGAGTTTAAGGACAGATCAATTGAAATTGCCCAATATGAACGACAAAAAAGAAAAAGATTTTTTTTTAATGTAAGAAAGCCTCAAAGTCACATGAAATAATACAGAAGGATCTAACAACTTGTTGCAGGAGTTCCAGAAGAATAGGAAAAGAGTGTAGTGGGAAAAAAATGTTGAAGAAAGTTCTAGCCATTGTTTCTTTAAAGCTAGTGAGATACATACCCTTAAAGATTTAAGAAGCTTAACAAAATCTACAAAGCAATCTGTGCCCAGGAACATCACAGTCAAACTACTAAACTCTAAAGACAATTTAAAAAAAAATCTTGAACGCAGCCAGAGAAAAAAATCACATTATATACAGGGAACAACAACTTGAATGACTGTGGATTTTCTCATGAGAAATCAGAAACTAAAGGAACAGTTAACTTTAAAGTGTTGAAAAGAAATACACATAATTCCATATCCAGGAAAATATCTTTCAGAAATAAAGGCAAAAGAAATATGTTCCCAGATGAAGGAAAACAAAGAGAATTTCTTGTCATGAGATTTTCTCAAAAAATCATTCTGAAAGAAGTTTTTCAGATGGGAGGGAAATAATAACAGAAAGAAACTTCGTATTTCAGGAATGAAGAAAGACCATGAGAAATGGTAAATAATTGGATAACCTTAGTAGAGTATATTTTCTCAGGGTGCCTGGGTAGCTCAGTCGGTTAAGCATCCGACTCTTAACTTTGGCTCAGGTTACAATCCCAAGGTCGTGGGATCAAGCCCCACTTTGGGGCCTGTGCTGACAGAGTAGTGCCTCCTTTGCATTTTCTTTCCCTCTCCCTCTGCCCCTCCCCATCTTGTGTGCACTCTTTCTCTTCCTTTCAAAATACATAAATAAGCACTTTAATAGACTACATTTTTCTTAAGTTCTTAAGATATGTATGATTGTTGAAAGAAAAATATTATTAGATGTAATGCTATGAACATTACAACAAAAATTGCAGAGAGTAAAGGAACCTACATAGAGGTAAGCTTTCTGCATTCCATTTGAAGTAGCAAAATATTAATTCTAAGTAGGATGTTAAGTATGTACATTGCAATTCTTACAAACACTAAAGAAAGAAAACAAAGAGAGAGAGTCAAAAATACCATAGATAAATTTAAACTGAATACTAAGATATATTCAAATAATCCACAAAAAGTTAGGGAAAGAGAAACAGAGGAACACAAAAGGGGGAACAAGGAGAAAACAAATAATAAAATGGTAGACCTAAGTCCAAACACATCAAAAATTACATTAAATAAAAATTGTCTATATACACCAATTAATAGACATATATTGTCAGAATGGGCAAAAACCCCAAACTATATTCCATCTACAAGAAACCCACTTGAAATATAATAATATTGATAGGTTAGAAGTAAAATGTTAGAAAAAATTTAAACCATGATAACACTGATCGAAAGAAAGCTGGTGTGGCTACTAATCCTAGAGAAAGCAAGCTTCAAAGCAAGGAAAATTACCAGGAATAAACAGGTTATGTTGGACAATCATTAAAGGTGGCATAGCACACAAAATGTGTAGGCACTTCACAACAGAGCATCAAAAGTCATAAAGAAAAACTAGTAGAAGTAGAAGGACAAATGGACAAATCTACAGTTATAGCTGGAGACTTCAACACTCTTCTTTCAGTAATTGATAGGAAAAGTAGACAGAAAATAATCAAAAGTATAGAACTGAACAACACTATCAACCAACCAATGTGATTGACTTAGGGAACACTGCACTCAACAACTTCAGAATACACCCTCTTTTCACATTCTGTGGACACTTTGTCAAAATAGACTGTAGTCTAGGTCATAAAAGAAACCTTATCAAATAAATAAAATCATACAAAATATGTTCTCTGATCATGATAGAATTAAATTAAAAATGAATAATAGAAAGACAAATGAAAATTTTCCATGTACTTGGGAATTAACATATTTCTTTTTTTTTTTTTAATGTTTTATTTATTTTTAGGAGAGAGAAAAAGAGACAGCGTGAGCAGGGGAGGGTCAGAGAGAGACGGAGTCACAGACTGAAACAGGCTCCAGGCTCTGAACTGGCAGTCAGCACAGAACCCGACGTGGGGCTCGAACCCACGATCCGTGAGATCATGACCCAAGCGAAAGTCAGACGCTTAACCGACTAAGCCACCCAGGCGCCCCTAAACAACATATTTCTTATTAGTTGTGATAAAAATACAAATGACATAAAACTTACTATATTAACCATTTTCTTTTTTTAAATTTTTTATTAATGTCTTTTATTTATTTCTGACAGAGAGAGAGACAGCATGAGCAGGGGAGGGTCAGAGAGAGAGGGAGACACAGAATCTGAAACAGGGTCCAGACTCTAGCTGTCAGCACAGAGCCGGAAACGGGACTCGAACCCACGAACCGTGAGATCATGGCCTGAGCCAAAGTCAGATGCTCAACAGACTGAGCCACCCAGGCACCCCTATCTTAACCATTTTCAAGCGAACAGTTCAGTGGCATTCAGCACATTCATATTGTAAACAACGTAGTTCTAAATAGTTTACGGGTTAAAGACAAAATTTCAAGAAAAGTTTTAAAATATTTTGAACTTAGGTGCCTAAGTGGCTCCATTGGTTAAGCACCAGACTTCAGCTCAGGTCATCATCTCATGGTCATGAGATAGAGCTCTGCATCAGGCTCCACACTGAGAGTGGAGCTTGCTTAAGATTCTCTCTCTACATTCCTCTGCCTCTCTCTCTCTCTCTCTCAGAAAATAAATAAATAAATAAATAAATAAATAAATAAATAAATAAATAAATTTTAAAAATAAAAAAACATGATCATACACAGAAAAAAGCATTTGAAAAATTTGACATTTGTTCATGATAAAAGTCATCAGTAAACTAGAAATAGAAGGAATCATCCATAACCTGATAATAGACACCTAAAAGAAAGAAGAAAAGAAAAGAAACCCAGAGCTGATATAATATTTGATGGCAAATGATTGACTGAAGACTTTCTCCCCAAGACTAAACAAATCAAGGATGTCTGCGCTCACTAGCCCTATGCAATATCATGTTGGAACAATAGATTGGAAAGGAAGACATAAAACCTCACTATTCACAGACAACATGATTGTCTACACAGAAAATCTGAAGCAATCTATTTTAAAAAAATACTCTTAGAACTAATAAGTGAATTTAGCAAGGTCTCAGGGTACACAGTTACATGTAAAAATTAATCATATTCCTATATATTAGAAGTAAACAACTGAAAAACAAAACTTTAAAAATATCATTTAAAATAAAGTTCAAAAAATGA